ATATATATATTATAATCGAAATTCAATTGTCCCTAAAAATCGACTTATGAAAACTTGGGTTATCGACTTAATTATAAATTACCCCCTCAGAGCTACAATCACTGACGAGTTTTATTTATTTTAATGTTTTTTTCCCATTTCCTTACAGGTCAAAAATTCGCTATGTTGGAATTGAAATGTTCCCTATCCTATCTCCTGCGTAATTTCGAATTCTTACCAGCCAAGGGTTTCCAACCAAATGCTTTGCCAGAATTGGTTACTAAAAGTGGAAATGGCATAAGAATTCGCATCAAGTCACGTGATTGAATTTAGAGTTTTAAGTTTGTCATAGCTTTAAGTTATTTTGTTGTAAATATTTATGTATATAAATTTGAAAATAAATAATATTTAAAAATAAATCAAAACATTTTTAATATTTTATACTAGCATATGCCCGCAACTTCGTTAGCGAATGTAGGAAATATTTAATAATGTATAAACATATTATTTTATTTGTAGATAAAACTGCATATGTCTGAAAAAACAATCCACACATTAATGTCGACCATAAATTATATTTGAGTACCATTTAGTACAAAATTTCATGATTCGAGCGGTAAAGGTTCACCCAAAACCAAATTTTCCATTTAGCACACATTATTTCCATAAGTACCCTCCTCAACCAATGATTCCAAATTCAAGTTTCAGGATTCCAACTCTATTAATTCACCCACAATTGAAATTGTACCGAATTTAGTAGTAGAATTTCCAAAACTTCCTACTTAACCCAAACCTACACCCCGATAGTGATTTTAAATCCAAGATTCAGGATTCCAACTCCATAGGTTCACCCACAATTCAAATTATACCAAATTTTGTACACAGTAGTACGAATTTCCAAAATTGCCTACTTAACCCAAACCAACACCCCACAGTGATCCTAAATCTAAGTTTCAGGATTCAAACTCTACCCGCAACTCAAATTGTACCAAATTTGGTACACATTAGTTCAAATTTCCCAAAACTTCGTATATACCGCAATCATACACCCCCACAGTGATCCTAAATCCATGTTTCAGGATTCAAACTCTATCGGTTCAACCACAATACAAATTGTACCAAATTTAGTACACAGTAGTACCAATTTCCAAAACATTCTACATACCCCAATCCCACACTGATCCTTAATCCAAGTTTCAGGATTCCAACTCTATCGGTTCACCCACAAATTAAATTGTACCAAATTTAGTACACAGTAGTACGAATCTTACACCTCAACAGTGATTTTGTCTCCAAATTTCATGATTCCAGCTCTATTGGTTTTAATTTCAAATTCCAGGATTCCAGCTCGATTTGTACCTCCAAATCAAATTTGTAACAAATATAGTACCATATAGTACTTTTCGTACACATGAGAGCACGCTTTCCAAACTCTCCTCATATCGACCCTAATTCTCAACCTTAATTTGCATTCCAAATTTCAAGTTTTTAGCTCAATCCATTCACATGCTACGAAATTGTACCAAATTTAGTACATTTCAGTACTTTTCCGATACTTATAGTTCGAATTTCCAAAAAGTCATTTGCTACATCTATTCTACACTCCATCAATTTCAGATTTCTAGCTCTACTGGTTCGCCAAATACAAATGATACCATATTTAGTATTTTTAGTACTTTTCGTACGGTTCTACTACGAATTTCCAAAAATCCTTTGGTACATCTATCCTACACTCCATCAACGACTGGCGGTTATAGTATCGGAATCATAAACACCATTCACAATTTTAGCCGCGTGGCTTACATTTTCGCATTTGTCAAAGAAGACCTGTAAAATGTGCCGAATTTTCTCTTTGGTCACTTCCTTTTTTAACACCCTGTAACTCACAACGGAATTCAGCAAACAAAAAACAGCAAAATAGTTTTTTACTGCGAAATGTCACCCTTCCAACGAGCATAAATCTGAATCTGTTTGATCGATACTTTATGCGACATCTATCAGTACAGCCATCTGCCGGAAAAAAATATGGATTTCTAATATTTCTTAAGAGCTTGCTCCATTCTCGCAATAGTTCCAATTAACTAGTTCGATCAGGAACTACCCAACTCTAGTCAATATTCTGTGACCCAAGTGACGTACCGTGAAATAGAGACATATCATTCGATATTGCATGAGCACCTGGCTCAAAAATGTGTTTTTTTTCTTTTCGCACAATGTTTAAATCGAAGCAAATGATCGCCCATATCTTCCTCGTAAGCACCGTAGGAGGTTAATTCTGTGTGGCACATCTCATTTTTTTACTAAAGCCTTTGAAGAAATTCGAAAACTTTCGCAATAGGTCTCTCTCATGGGCTAAAATCAGCGCCTTTCTGATGGGCCAAAATGTGGAATTGATGGGTCATCCGTCATACTACCATTTTTTGGAACCCAATTACTACTTTATGTTACACATCTAATACTTTATGTGTTGTCTACGATTTTTGTCCCCAAAATTTTTGTGAAACCTCCAAGGCATATTTGGATCAGTCTCTATTTGAATGAAAAGTGCTTCAATGATTGGTTTGAGCGTAGGCAAAACGGGATAAATCCTCAAGCGTGATACCTTGAGAAAAAATGAAACCGTAATTTTAAAATAAATATTCACACACTCATTATTATATAGTAGCCCTCTTATGTCGTACAAGTGGTTTTTGAGGTATTGGTGAGTACTTGAATTTACTTTCCACGTGTACATATTTCATAAAAATACATTTAACATATCAAATCTTCGTTCAGTCCGAACTTTTTTAATCTCCACCATGAGGTGAACATTCAAAATACCTAAAATTGATCGGGACTTTTAAACAGATAACTAAGCTGGAAAATTGGTCTAGGGACTACCATTCCCGAAAATGATGATATGCAATATTACTGCTTGTAATGGAAAACGCGCCTAAGACAATGAAAATATTTTAAAAGTGCTGAACTTTTAATAGTAGGGGACTATGGGCACTACATATGATCACCGATATAGGTAATTTTTGGTAAGAATGATTTCCCAATCCATGAGAACCAATACTATATTATTACAGCGAAATCAGTTGAAACGTGAATGAAATCCACAAAATACTAAAAAATTGAGGCTATAGCAAAAAATTACACCGATGAACATTGACAAAATATTAATAACGTTTGGTATAACGATTTGCTATATAAAATATGACAAATCATGGACATTTACTGCAAATATGTTTGTCACTCCCCAAGATCTCCGATTTTAAATTGCTATTACTTTGATAGTAAAAATGATGCTTAAATATTAAAAAAAATGCAGCGGGAACTTTATATTTTCTGCTTATATGTTCTTCATCCTCCTAGGAACCGAACAGCCAAATTACAGTCCAGTGGGTTGAAAACTGTACCTAAAAACCGAAAATTTATGGATTCACTTGTATAGGGGTACATTAAAGCGTTTACCGATACATCACATTCTGCAAACATCGTAGGAGTTTTAGTCAATTATATACAAATTTCAAAAGCCACCTTCATGATCTAGGTGTAATAAAAACAATATGATGTGCAATGTTTGGATCAAAACGAACATACCATTCCTTTTATATTGAATTGACAAATTTTCATAATATTGGCACTTTGCGATAGGATACAAGGAGGAATGAACCGATGGGTTCCTTCATTGGACTTGAAGTAGGTTTGGTAAAAGTATTATGATGTGAAAAGTTTTTATTAAATCATAAAATCAGCCAGCCAGACTGACGGATGGACATTTTTAAATCGATTTGTCTCAAAAAACATGGGATACAAAACTAATATTTCGATGAGTCAAATTTTTATCATAGCAAAGTGTAAATTCTTATTTGCTGTAAGTCTAGGGTATAAAAATAATCGGTGTGGAATTTTATGTAATGAGGTTTTGGTGGAGGGTATAATAAAATAAAAAATAACTGGTATACAGAAGTACATAAATTCACTACAAATATTGCATATTTTTAGGCTGACATGTAAACTAATATATCAGCTTATACAAAAGTATAACAGAAGTGTAGATAAATTTATGAATTTAATCAATATATGGATTGTGTATTATTCCCAGTGCAGATATGGTAGTATTCTTACTCGAACAAAAAATTTAATTATGACATGAGAAGAACTTCGGGTATTATGAACTACAACTTTCTTTTTTTTATTTTTAGGTTTTTTAGATCACTTGTACTTGTCCATAAAAAAAATATTATTGCATTATTTAAAAAAACTCAAAATGGGGTATTAAAAACCATTACGGGTAATGCGAATTTCAGTGTTGATTAACTATTAAAATTGAAATAAATGGGCCCAATTTTTGGAATAGTCCCAATATAAGGATACCACCCTATTTGCAGTAATTTGAAGGAGCAAAATTCATTATCCACCCAAGAATTTGTAATTAGGCATACCCTCAGCCTATGACACTTAACCTGACAATGAATTATTGAATTTGGTTAAAGGAATCTAAGGAATCACTTTCGTTATGGGGCATTTTTTATAAAATATTAGTGGACTCGCACTATGAGCCCAAGAATGTTTTATAACCAAATCGGCTATATTTGAAACCTTTTAAGTCATCCCATAGTTTTATGATTCTAATACTGCTAATAAATTAAATATTTAATATTTATGTCTGATCCGCCATTTCGGATTCATTTTCAAATTGTGATTTCACATTTGTAATCAGTGGCCATATCTCTACAAAACGTGTTCAATCAAAACTAATTTCATTAATTCAATTTAAAAAAATGTCCGTCATTCGATCCATCCTAATGCATTAAATATATGGTTAGTATAAATATTAATTACTTAGCTGGCTTATGACAGAACGGTTGTTCCATATGCCGACCTTAAACAAAATTTCCAGGCGCGTCGGTCTTGTGCACATCTCATCCAATTTGAAAGACCATTTTCCGAGATGTTGTCTTCTATTCATGGCCTTCCCCTTCTACGTGAACCTTAGCTTAGGTCGCTTTTATATGCCTTTTGAGCTGGGGCATCTTCATCCATTCTCACAACATGTCCTAGCCAACGCTGTCGCTGGAGATCGATACGTCTAACTATGTCGATGCCAGAAAAATATATGGTATAGCTCATGGTTCATTCGACTTTGGTATTCACCGTCGAATCAGATCGAATCATAGATCAGGAGAATTGTTCTCTCAAACATTACAAGAGCTGTCTCGTCTGCTTGCGCATATACCCATGCTTCAGATTCATACAACAGCGCTAATAATATTAGCATCTCGATTTTGAGTTGCTTACACAGTCGTATCTGTTGGCCAACACTATTCTCCTCCGGATTTCAAAGCTGATGTTATTAGTTTTGTTATAATTGCGTTGAAATTTTGACATTCGGATGTTCCAGTGATCGGCAATCATGCTCGCCATCGAAAAGGATGACTTTTATTTAAGGGAACCCCACCCATTCTCGATTTTAATTTTTCAAGATTTTCATTGGGCTGGTAAATCAATACCAATGCTTGTTAAGGTTTGTAACTTTGCACATATATATTTGAAGATTTAAAAGAGAAGAAAAATAATTTACAAAAAATGTTTGTTATTGTTTTGTTGTTGTTTTTTGTAATTAAAGAAAAGTCCTTATTTTCGATGGCGGGCATGATAACTCCTCACTGGAACATCGGAATCCGAAAATTCCAACGGTGTTTATTTACTTCGCTCTAAAATTAACAAAATGGCGGACCTTTGAACAAATATTTTTGGAAAATCCGAAATTTTTGACCAAAAGCCAAGTTAAAAAATAAGGAAGATTTCACCGATTGGCTTTATCCTAGTTCATACGATAGCTATACACTCACAGATAAACGTGTAAAAATTTGGAATCGATTGGGTTATTAGTTTTTGAGTTATCGTGCCCGCCATTCGCAAAAGAGAAAAACCCGTTTAAAGTTTGAGAAGCCCTTTAGTCGTCACTTGATGCTGACACAATAAATCGGCTATATTTTCAAGAGTTCTTGAGATTTTCTCTTGAAATTTTGTAGGGACAATATAATCTCCTGAAACTTCCATACACTTAGTGCAACGCTTTTCTAGCAATTCTTTCCCTTGATTAAAATAGTTTTCTTCAAGGTCTTCAAAATAGTGATTTACAACTGTAATTGCATATTATTTGAGCTAAAACGCTTGCCAATAAGGATTTTTTTAGATTTGGGAACAAGTAAAAGTCACTGGAAGCTAAATCAGAAAAATAATGTGTGTGGTCAAGCAGTTCGTACTTTAATTCGTTGATTTTAGCCATTGTTAAAACACTCTTGCGCGCCGATGCGTTGTCTTCATCAGATTTTTTTTTTTTTTGTGTTGTAAGCCAGGACGTTTTTCTCGTATTTGTACATTTAATTGATCCAAAAGGTTGCAATTGTATTCTGAATTGATTGTTTACCTTTTGCAGAAAGTCAATCAACAAATACCTTTAAAGTCCCAAAAAACCGTTGCCACAACCTTACCCCCCGATTGAATTGTTTTTGCCTTCTTTTGGGCACTTTCTCCAGCTTCAGTCCATTGTTTGGATTGTTCTTTTGTCTCTGGAGTATAGTGGTGGATCCATGTTTCACCAACAGTTATGAAACCACTCTTAAAATTCATTTTATTTAGCTTAAAACGACCTAAACAAGCATGAGAACTGTCCATTCTTATGCGTTTATGATCGACTGTTAATAAATGCGGCATCCATCTTTCAGAAAGCTTTTTCATCTGTAAATCTTCATGCTAAATTAAATGGACTCGCTCATGTGAGATGCCCATGATATAAGAAATTCCATGCACTTTTATTCGTCGATCATTTAATAGCATATCATGCTCGTTGGCTACAATTGATGTTGTTGTTGCTGTACGCTTGTACGACCACGTTTAAATTCAGCAACCCAATTTTTTACTGTTGCATATGAAGGAGCACTTTCACCTAACACATTCACCATACCATTATGAATTTCTGGCCTCAATAAACATTTTGTATGTAAATATTTAATGATAGCACGCGTTTCTAACTTTAGCATTGTAAAAAAATTTGAACACTTCTTTCTATATGAAGGAGTTGTCAGATCGAAAAAAATTTAACATGTGTTGACAGAGATGGAAATTTCCAAAACACTTAACTTTTTTCTGTTTATACCGCGCTTTTTGTGCTAGGCTAGGTTTCGGGACTGCATCGTACCTTAGTTTCTAAAATAAATCTTCGAATTGCGCTAACTAAATTAAAGTGACACTCCCAGAAAAGCCTGGAAGAAGGAACAAATTCCAAGCATTAAAAAAATTAACTTAGGAATGACAATACCTTAGGGCTGCTATAATTTATCCCATTACTGCCTCACACAAGACAATTAACGGCTCTCATGTTGACAAAAAAAGTTATTTATTGAGAACCCATGAGTTTGGTTCTCAATAAATATAATTGATGAAATTTCTATTGTATTTGCGCGATATATAGCAAAACAAACAAATCGCGCCGGCATCAACACAACAATCAGTCGGTTAGTCTCAGCTGCTCAGAACAATTCACAACGAAATGAACGCGGCGGACTACGGGAAATTGTGAATAGGAAGGAAATTCAATAGAAACGTGTAACAACACAACAAAACAAATAAATATATCTTAATCTTTGACGCCAGTAATTGTTTTTACAAATAGTTGATGTGATAATTTTAAAAGTGGGTTGATATTGAATCAAATAATTTTTGAGTTTTCTATTATTACTTTGTATTTACAATTTGACAATTTTGTTAACAATTTGTTTTATCCGTTTGCCTAAATTGTGAAAATTAAAATTAAAAGCAAAGTGAAAAAATAAATTAATTAATCCCCCAATAAAACATTATGCATACATATGTGTCACTTCGCGCTATCTCTGACGCTAGATAATATCTGTCAATTGTGAAATTACCCCAAACGTCACGCATAATTCATATGTGGGGAGGTGGTGGCGTTGTGTAAACTAACAATTTATGGCAAATCAAAACGGTAATTACCCAACCGTTATTAAGTTTTTTTTCGAACGGAAGAATAAAAACATTGATAAATTAGAGAATGGTTGAAAAGGGAATTTACTTTTGAAAGATTTCTATATGTCCGATACCTCTTGAGCCATATTATTAATTTCTTTTCAATTACTTTCATCCATTCTAATATACTTTATATTATCTTTATTGCAGATCTACAAATAAACATGACAGAAAATAAATCGGAACTAAGTGATAAAAACAATGCAGTCATCTACAAACAAACGACAATACCCAAAAAATCAAAACACCGTGACAAAAGTGACTTAGGACCCAATTTTGTGGCGCCCGATGGTGGTTGGGGCTGGGTTGTATGCATTGCGACGGGGCTTAGTAATGTGAGTTTTTTTGTGCAATTTTCATTTGAATAAAATTATAATTATTATTAATACAGTAGATATCGGATATAAGCACATCTCATATAAGAAAAAATCGCATATAAGAAAGATTATCAAAAAGACCGAGCGTATACTTTCTTATATCCGATAATTCCATATAATTTCTGATTTCGTTTGGCCAAAACTTCGTAGATGGAATTTCGATCCATTCTAATTTTTCTGTTAATTGGTGTGGCGGCCAGGCATCGAGTTTCTTTTTGAACCCAGCTTTGTGTAAATGATCTAAACATGGTTTATGGTCCAACCTAATATATAAAAGAGCCGAGTGATAAGTGAGTGAGTGCCTGGTCATCGCCCAGGCGGAACGACTGAAGCTACAAGCTTGAAATTTTGGGTGTAGGTTGTTCTTGGTATGTAGGCGTGAGATAATTGGAATGTAAGTCTCTAGTGGAAAGTTAGAAAGAAGTAAACAAAGGGTTTATGGAAATTCGACCTATAAGTGTACACAAATTACTAAACATTACTTAAGGGGACCCCCCCCCCCCCATTCTCGGTGTCAAAAAATGTTTTGATTTAATTCTTATCTACTATAATTCTAGAATGTTTCTACAAAATTTCAAGTGAAAATCTCAAGAACTCTTGAAGATATAGCCGATTTATTGTGTCAGCATCAAGTGACGGCTAAAAGGCTTTTCAAACTTTAACTCCCGTGAGGAGTTATCATGCCCGCCATCGAAAATATGGACTTTTCTTTGAACCCCAAAAACAACAACAACAAATTTTGGTAAATTATTTTTCTTCCTTTTTAAATCTTCAAATATATATGTGCCAAGTTACAAACCTTAACAAGTATTGGTATTCATTTACCAGCCCATTTAAAATCTTAAAAATAAAAAATCGAGAATTGGGGGGGGGGGGTTCCCTTAATTTAGTTCTAATTGTAAATATATGGAACATATATAGCTAGAATCTTGAAATTTTATATAGAATACAGGATGGAAAGTGGTGTTGATGTATGAAAATGGTTTTAGAAATTCGTACTTATGTGTATGAAAAGTACTAATTGGTACTAAATTTAGTACAATTTGCATGAAATCCTGAAAATAGAAAATATTTGAGTACATACGGAGCTTGTGTTTTGAAATTGGGAATTAAAATTATATTTGAGGATTGAGCTGTAGAGACAGCTTTGGAAATAGTATTGTAAACAGCACTAGATTTGGGTGAACGGAGAGAGCTGGAAACCAAACATTTTGAATATGGTTGCTGTGTAAAATTAAAATATAGAAGTGCAGTACTTATGTGTACTAAATGGTACTTTAGTTGGTACAACTTGTTTATGTGCGAACGAATAGAGCAGGACTCCACAATTTTGGAATTAAAATGTTGGAATTTTATTCTTATGGGGACAATAAGTACTAAATGGTACCAAATATTTTACAATTTGATTTTGTGTGAACGGAATCCTTAAATTTGGAATTAAAACTAGTGTTGGAGATAGTTTTGGAATTTCGTAATTATGCGTACTAAAACTTCAAATTTCAATTAGGATTGCTGGGCACGAAAAGTACTCTTCATGGTACAAAATATGGTTCAATTTGGATTGGTGTGAACGGATATGGCTGAAGTCCTGAAATTTAGAATTTAAATTACTGTTGGAGTGTACGATTGAGGTAGTTTTGCAAAATCATTCTTATGAGTACGAAAAGTACTAAATGTAGTACAAGTTGAAATTGAGTGAAGGGGAGAGTTGGGAATGTTGAGGATGAGGCAGTTTTGAAAATTCGTACTTATAGAGTACGCATGGTGCTAGATAAATTTGATTTGATACAATTTGTATTTGGGTGATGGGATAGAGTTGGAATCTTAAAATTTGGAATTTAGATTCCCATGTTTGGACCACACAGAATTTATTATTCGCTTTATATGTTTTAAAGCATTATGTTGTGTAAGTTTGACTTAAATTGGATAGTACGTACGTTATAAAATTAATTTTCAGTGCAATTTTGACCATTGTGTGGGTACCACAAGGAGTGAACTTTTTCTCCCCATCTTCGAACGTGATTTATGTTTGAGAGAAATATTACGATGTGACAATTTCCATCAAATTGATATTCGATCAACAAATTTTGAAAAAGTTGTCCCTTTGTAGGGGATCTACCAAAAGGGAAACCGATGGGTTCAATCTTGATCTAAGCTTGGGAAAGGTTCCAAAGAAGTGGACCGATAAATTTTAATGTTTCGACAGATGGTCATTTGTAAATTGTCTCCAATTTGTCTGGTTTGGGGTACAAAAAACGAGTATATGAGGCAGAAGGAGGGTATGTTTTACAAAAATATTCGTTATTCAATTTTACTGTAATCTCAGAAATAAGCGTCAGTTGTCCGAAAAATATATAGTTTTTATAAAATATAGCTGAATTTGTCCTCCTGGGGTTTTAATATACTTGCCTGGGGCTTTCATCCCCATAAGTAATTTTCAACACCGCAATCCAAATTTAGAACTCATATATTATGAATTTCCCTTTGGGTTTTGTTTTGGGAGCTTTTCCTTTAGTTATATTTTTTACTAAACATAGGTCTCATTTACCCACTCCTTTTGGCATCTCTCCCGATTTGATCCATTGATTGCACATCGTAATATTTTTACCAAAACCTGCAATAAGAGACTCACACTGACTGCCGAAATTTTTAAAGTTTAACAGTACTTTTTGTCTCAGGATTGGTGGAGAATTATCGGATTTTCTCTGGATATAAGAGGTTGTTACTTAGCATTTCGAATACTTAGACAATGAATATATATATTTGCAGACATTTTTTAATATAGGTCCATGTTCGGACATAGCTCTTATAATAGAAGGGCTTTGCCGCCCCAGTCAACTGAAGTGGCTATAATTCATCTTTCCGTGTTATTTAAGGATAAAATCAATATTGTTTTTACCCACTTTTAGCCTATATTTTCACCATTTTTGGCTGCTATTTGGCATTTAGGGTTCCTGGAGGATGAACCCCAAATGCCAAATGTGCAGAAAATGTTGTATATAGGACCAGTCTTATAGTCATCAAACCAAAAAAAAAAAAAAAATTCTGCAGAATTTTCCCAGCCATTACAGGCTGTAAATTGGCAATCCGGATTAATGGAGGTTAAAAATATTTTTTCAGACATATTTTCCTCTATGACCATGTTTTGATAAAGCTTTTATTTATGAAATGTTTTATTCGTTATTTATCCACACACTGGTTGTAATTTGACATTCAGAGGTTTCTGGTGGCTTAAAAAATATTCTCAACAATTTGTCAAGATATTTTTTGACTTGTCCTCTATTTAAAAGTTCCGCCTCATTTTGGGTACTTTTAATGTTCTCTCCGCATTTTCCCAGTTCTTAGAGGCTGACCAAAGTAGATGTAAAGTGACATCCCGGGTGAAAACATCTTTGACATAGGTCAATATTTTAAAGAAGGATCCACCACATTCTATATCCACGAAATGACTGTAATTGTCATCTGGGATTCCTTCTGAATAAAAACACTTTTTTACTAGAAAATATTCAATGTAGGTGCATATTTTTACATGGCTTTCATACAAAGTTAGGTTTGCATTTGGGTAATTTAGAGTTCATAGTCTAGTACTTAAACCTGATTGCCTTCAATTCAATTTGTGATTTTTTGTGTTCTTTTAAAAGGACAGTGGCTTCAAATGAGTTATGAAATTACAGGGTTTAAAAATTCGGTCCATTGAATTTAACATTTTTTTTTTAAATTTTGCACATTTCATTAATTATTAATTTTTTAATTTATGTTAATTCACCCCTCCGTAGCTTTCAATGTTCCCTCCCCATCAACAATATGGACTAATTTATCGAGAGCGCATGCAAAACTTTGGTTTTGATGTCAAAGAAATTACCACGATTATCAATTCGGAATATGCAATATCCTCGCTGGTGGGACTTGTCAATGGAGCCATGTTCCGCAGGTTTACCTTTCGCCAGGTGGCCATGGCAGGAAGTTTAATGGGATTTATAGGGATCTTCTGCACAGCGTTTTGTACGAATTTTCTACAATATTTTATATGCTTCTCGTCGATTTATGGTAATTATAAAATACCTTAAACTACAACGACCAAAATAATTAATTTTCAATTGTCATCTATTTTAGGCTTTGGTCTGGGTCTAAATAAATCCGCCAATTCATTGGCTATTAACACATATTTCAAAAATAAACGCCGAAGGGCGACAGGCTTTACTCTAACCATTACCGGTCTCGGTTCGGTGATATTTCCACAGATAGCCCTCTTGTTGTTAACCTATTATGGAGCCCGTGGATCTATTTTGGTATTCGCAGCCATAATTCTAAATGCCTTTATGTGTTCCTTAACTTTGCAGCCAGTGTTGTGGCATTCATCGACCAAAACAACGGAAGAAAATCCGGAAGAAGAGGCAGAAAATGATACCAAAGAAAATGAAAGCTATAAATGTAAATATTGTCTAAATCGGGAAAGAGAAAAGCGAGAAGAATTAGATCTAGGGGATTATGAGATCACGGAACCTTGTGGCACACCTTTGATAGCTCGTTCTAATGATGGTTGGTTTGGTTCGAAGTTATCTCTAAATAAAGAAGCCAGAATGTATCGCACAAGGCAGATTAGTGAAAATGGAGGTTATGCAGTGGAAGAAAATCGAGAGAAACGATTTCCAGAAGTACCCAGTAAAGCAAGTATTTATTCTAAGGCGGATAAAGAAATCTATTCCCGCTGTACCTGTGAAGAGGAGAAATTGCTGCTAGAAAAAGGAGAGAAGACAGTCAGTATGAAAGAAGAGGAGAAGGATTTGAATGAAAAAGAATCCTTGGAACGCAAGAGTCTATCATTTGCACAAAAAATTGTCTTATTTTTCGATTTGGATCTCTTGAGAGATTTTACTTTCGTCAATTTGGCTGTGGGCATGGCCATAATGATGTTTGGTGAAATAAATTTCTCAGTCCTGACACCCTTCATTTTGAATAGTTTCGGTTACAGTGATACACAAATATCCATGGCAATGTCTTTGCTTAGCTGCATGGATATAATTGTTCGTTTCTTTGGACCATTTGTTTTGGAAAAGGTTAAGCTGTCGAATAGTTTTCTTTTTGCAATTGGTATTATAATTGTCATGATTGGCCGTACCCTGGTAACCCTAACCACATCGTATCAGGTGATATTGTTACTATTTGTTGTAATCGGGTTTGGCAAAGGATTTCGTATGTTATTTGCCCCGCTCATTGTTCCCAGTTATGTGCCACTGAGTCGTTTGCCTGCTGCATCGGGATTGCAGCTGATAATTACTTCGATAAGCTCTTTTACATTGGGTCCATTGTTGGGTAAGTTAGAGAAGAATTATTTACTTATTATTTTTTTAATTTTTAATTATGTGGTTTTGTTTTTCTTTTTCTTCTTTCTTTCAGGATCAATTACGGATAAATTTGGCTATGCCGTGACTATTCACTGCATTAATGGCTTGACTTGTTTTATGCTGTTAGCTTGGTTATTGGAGTATTTGATAAGAAAACGAAGAAAATCGATAATGGAAAAATAAATTGAGCGAAAATTACAAAATATAAATGTTATTTTATTATACTGCACAGCAAGATTTTGGGGGTATGGAAAATCCAAAATGGGGAGGAAAGCCCTGGGCGAGTATATTAAGAATCCTGAGGAACAAATTCGACATAGGCATAGTTAGTTCATAAAAGGTTGTTTCAGGATATTGCAGACTATTTTTGAAATCACAAATCTTTAGTCAATTCCAATGAGGAATGTTTTTGTTCAAAATATCTTCTATCTCGAATTCTTGTGCATAGTTTTTCGTCCTTATTATCTTGAACCGTAAACTATATACCACAGGATGGCGAGATTTGTTTAACAGTAAATATATGATACCCTTCACCACTTTAGGTAGGGGAGACTGGGGCACCTTCGGCACTTTTTGTTTATAGCTCTATATCTCAGTACTTATTCAACATATATTAAAACTTTATGTCTGATTATTGTCCTCTGACACTTAATTATAAATTAGTTAACCCCAACCCGGGGTAGTTTCGGCATTTTATGGGGCAAATTCGATACCATAGTCATAGCCTGGTAATTACCATCTCTATCAGTCTGGTTGAAATTCAGATCCTCTAAAGGCTCTATTTAGTTTAAATAAGCGACAGAATGTTTAAGTTTTATGGCTATTTTTTTTAGCGGCGGACGTTGACATCTCAAGGTCACACACTATCAGAAATAGGTTTTTTCTATCACATTTTCGTCAATACAAGCACCTTTGGTCTTATATATGTAATTTCGAACCATATTAATGGATTATTTTTAAAGACAAAATCAAAAACATTTTAAGGAAATAATATTGCACTATCTGCATATGGCCGAATGTGCCCCACTTTAAAATGCCGAATCTATCCCGAATGTACTTTTTATATTTTTTTCTTTTTTCTAGCAGTCTTGTAAAAACATTATATTTTTAAATATTTCTATAATACATGGTAATTAACCACATTTTAATAATATTGTCTTAAAATTTGAAAAGTTTGGAAGATATGGAATCGGGCGAAATCAACTGTGTTATATACATAGATATTTGAACTTTTAAATGGTTCAAATATCTACTTTTATCTACTTTTAAATGGTTCAAATATCCATACACATACCATTCTGAAATTAATTACAAAATGTATGTAAAACGCAGGATGGGATTCTTTGATGTATTTTATGAAATCGAGTAAAATTAGGCTTTCCGGTGCACAATTTACATAAAATCGGACGATAATATATATATAAGATCTATATGTAAATCAGAACCGATTTAAACCAACCTTAACACACACCATTCTTGACTCAATTGCATACGCTATGCACAATTTTATCTCCATCGGACAAATATTAGGAGTTTGGAGCACCATTTACATAAGTCAGACAAATGTATATAAGGACTCTATATGTAAATCAGAACCGATTTAAACCAACATTAACACACACCATTCTTGACTCAATTACATACGCTATGCACAATTTTATCTCCATCGGACAAATATTAGGAGTTTGGAGCACCATTTACATAAGTCAGACAAATGTATATAAGGACTCTGTGGAAAGTTTTGTCTCAAACGGACAAATATTGGTAGTTTGATGCATTATTCATATAAAATCGGACGATACTATATATGGGAGCTGTATCTAAATCTGCACCGATTTAAACTAAACTTTGCATACATTACCAAAACTTTGCATACATACCAATTCAGTACGTTGTGCAAAATTCTATCTCAATCGGACACATATTTAGATAAAAAAAATAGAATCGAAATATATATGAGAGATACATCTAAATTTGAACCGATTTTCAATAGGTTTCGTCCTTGGATCAAATAAGTGACCAGTGCCAAATTTTATCCAATTCGGATCATAAATGTACTTGGTTTACAATTTGACATGGACAGAAAGTGATTCAATGCATATTCTCAAAAGGAACCATGCGTATCACGGTGTGGTGAAGTGTATACAAATGTCGTTTATAAGATTAGATATGGATGTCTCAAAGACAATCAATCGGCAATCAAACCGCCCTTTTGATTGTGCCGACAGATATATACCCACAGCCTACGGTTTGGGGAGGTTTTCGGAATTATACAAAGGTTTTATTATTCGATTTATGAAACAGGTTTTATACTTAATGTTGATTAAATTCATTATCCAATTAAATTTACAAGTCTATACAATATTAACCCTTTTTTGGAGGAGGTACAAGAATGAGAGGACCGACGGGTCCTATTTTGGAATTGATCTATGATTGGTAAAAATAATAGGTTGGCAAATTTTGATTCAATCGGACATTCAGGCATTCCATTCGCCGGACATTGGATTTATAAATAATGAAAATAATGAATGTTCGGACTGGATCTAGTCTTGGTAAAGATAATAGATCGCGAAAAATTGGATTCAAATCGGACATTCCATTCGCCTAATATTGGATTCATAAATACAAAGTTTGGTTCACATCGGATAGTACGTTCGCATGACGTTATAAAAAATTGGTCAATTTCCACCATTTTGTGGGAGAGGTACCTGAAGGAGTAAGCCGATATTCCTCATCTTCGAACTTGAACTATGTTTGAAATATTACGATGCGCAAAGTCAGAATGAAATCGATGACTCCCTGCGAAATTTATCGTGCGCACTAGCCGGCCAAACAGACGGACGGACATTTCTTAATCGACACCAAATTGTCTGAAACGCATTGGGTCTAAAACCGAAATATTGGTTTCGGTTTTATGAGAAATATTGGTTTCGGTTTTAGACACAATACGAATGAGGCACATTCTTGCCATATCGAAGTGAACATCCTGATGCGATCGAAACCTGGACTTGTATTGAAAATTTTTAAGAAATTATTTGTTCATCTTTGAAGAACCTGGATTGGCTTACAAAACTTATGTTTAAAAATGCCCAAAATGGGATATTATATTTTCTGCGACAAAATGTCATCAAAAATCTAAAACGGGACGGGGTATGTATGCGTTTGTTAGTTCGAAACTAGAATCAATAAAAATATAAATATGTATTCCCTCTATAAACCCGGAATTTTAAATCCAAGACCATTCAGAAAAATGGTAATATGGCTTTAAATATACCGTTAAATAGGATTGCGAACAATTGCATAAAGTTGTGAAATATAATAATTTCACAACATAATTCCTCGATGTTTCCTCTCTGTGACTTGGGTCAGTTTCTATGCGAATATATCCAGTTGGCATTTTCATTTTGTTTCACACATTCGTTATCTATGTTATCATGTCGTATTCCGTCGGATACAACATATTGATAAAAACACGAAATCAAATCAAGGTAAATTAACTTTTATCACTCATTCAAATATTATCAAACAAAATTAATATTATTACAAAAAATGTTATCAGAATCCCGAGACATTTCGGAGCACACGACCAGCAAATAATATCAAATAAAATTCATAGAATTACAAAATAACTAAGTTATCGGAATCCCGGGACATTTCGGGGCACACGACCAGCGAGGAATAGCTACAACATAATTTTATCAGTATAAATATTATAGATAATGATACATATAATATTGCAAACATATATAAAAGTTTACTATTTTAAAATGTTTCATTGAAGGAACAGTGGCCCGTATAATGGATACACACCTCAAATTAAATTGTAATACAAAAGTCGGGACTATCAATAAACACGCTCTGATATATTTTGAAAAATAAAACAATCTTCAAAAATACAGATCTGTAAAACAATATATCTAAAAAAATAAAAAAATATTCTTGAAGTAAGTAAGCTCTCATATAAATAAAAAATAAAAAAAATCTTATTAAAAACTTTCCTCTGATAAAAATATTTCTAAAAACGTCGTCGTTTTTATAAATCTTGAAATAAATATTTTGTTTTAAAAAAGCTATGCTTATTTTTTTTTAATAAAACAAAAAATTTTATGAATTCTTTATATATGTCCGCTGCTTCGTTAGCGAATTTGGGATTTAAACATTTCTTAAAGTACTATGCTGTTTTCGTATATAACTGCATATGTCAGAAGAGCTAGTCCGGCTACACCCCGATATCGACAATAGTTAAAATTTGATTACCATTTAGTAACTATGTTCTCTTATAGCACGTATTTCTAAAACTACCACCAGCAATATCAACAATACACATAAATTCTGACCACAACAGAAATGTAGCTCTATACTAAAATTGGTACCATTTATTACATTTGGTACTCTTGTAGTACTTATTTCCACAACTAATTCTAAATTTCATAATTTGAGCTCTATAGGTTCAGCCAAATTTAGTACTATTTAATACACATAAGTTGAAATAAACAAACAAAACTCCCCAAATGCCTCAACTTTACATTCCGACAATAATCTTAATTCCAAATTTCACGACCCCTGCTCTATCGGATCACCTAAATCCAAATTGTATCAAATTCAGTACCATTTAGATCCCATAACTACAAATTTCCAAACCCACATCCGTACCTCAATCCTACACTCCAACAGTAATTTTAATTCAAATTTCAAATCGTATAACCGTAATCCAAAATGGTATAAAATTTAGCCATAACTACATGCCTCAATCCTACATCCCAACAGTGAACCTAACTAAAAATTTCAAGATTCCAGCTCTATCGGCTCATCCAAAATTCAATTTGTACCAAATATAGTATCATTTAGTACACATAATTACGAATTTTCAAAACTATCTACCTGAATTCTACAATACCGCAGTAATCTTATTTCCTAATTTCCGCGTTCCAGCTCTATCGGTTCACCCAAATCCAAAATGTAGCAAATATAGTGTAATTTAATACTTTTCGTACACATATGTACAAATTTCTTTAACTACCTACATGTCGCAATCCTACACTCCGGCGGTAAGGAAAATGCAAGCCAAGCGACTGAAATTGTAAATGGTGTTAATGGTTCCGATACTGTAACAGAAATTTTGGTTTCGTACATTCCGTTCAGGACAACGCTAAGCCACACACATCTACAATGACTCGCCAGAA